GCAAACCCCAGATCTCTCTACAAGGCCTCACGCTCCTGCTATTAGCAGGTTACAGGGCAACGATCCTTCATGTGGGTGTAATGGAAGTCCGCTCCGATACCAATATAATGAACCATGACTGCCGACAACTGAACCACAACTTCAAGCACACTGAACGTCCATCGAGACTCCACACCCCAAACACCGCAATCAAGATCAGCATGCATAAAGAGAGAGAACCACCACCGATATGTTTATTATTATACAAATTGAAATTGTTTACAAATTTGTTTATGGCCACTATTGCCAGAGTCCGAAACAGGAACTTCACGCTCTCTCGCTCTCAAGCGCTCCTCTCTCTCTCTCTCAATAATTTGGGCGCTCAACCTTACTCTCTCTCTCTCTCTCTGCCTACTCTCTCGCTCTTCTCTATGACATGGACTGCTCCAACTACCTTCCTGAATACGTCCACTCGCACTGCTACTTCGTTTCCTTCCTTCCCCTTGTGGCTATAGCCGCGTCTTCCTCCTTTACCCTAGCTATGGTGCACCCAACCCTGAACGGCTGCGCTCAACCCGACAGTACAACTCCAAGTTGCACAAGCCAGAGCTTGCAAACTCCTACTCCTCATACAGCCACACTCGATCCATATTGAACATATATTATATTTGGAAGCCGCAGCCAGCCATAACTGCGGTTTAAAAAGGCTCACAACCTGGCTCAGCCGTAGCTGGGCCCAATTTGAGCATACAAACCCAGGCCGGCCCGAGCCCAGACCTTGAAGAAGAATTGTAGCTGGACTTGCATAGACCTAGACATATTTTTCACCACCTGCCCCCCACCCAGGGCCTTAAGCACAATCCCATCGGCACCCGCCCATAGCTGGCATTTTTTTAACTACCCGTACCCACCCGTACCCACCCGTACCCGCCATTGCTTTTCCAAGTTTTCAACACCCTTTCACCCATATTCAGCCTGACCATTCTCACCTATACAATTGTTGACCCCGACAATATAGAACCCTTGATCAACCATTGGAACTCAAGAGCAACTAGGTACATGAATGACAAGTCTCGAAACAATTGCGTATGCCACATATGAGTGGGAGAAAAAAACTCATGAGACAAAATTCAAAGCATATCGAGGTCACACCTCCAGCAAACCGGTGGTCTGTAGAAAAAAAAAAAAGATCATGAAAAATAGTGGCTGGTACCCCAATAGACATTTATGCATGGTGTAGACCTCCGCATGCATATATGCATATCTTTTTGGTGGGTGACCTGTGCCAAGTCTAGACCCGCCCGCACCTGGCAATTTTCTTTTTTGTTTACAAATGTCCACCCACAAAGAGCCCCTTTTTTGTTCACCACAATTGCCCCCAACCCAGTCCAGGGCCATCCTTCCATCACCTGGCCACACCTGGCCAGGTGGGACATTGGCTAACCAGACCTGCCTGCAGCTGTTGGGACCGGCCGGGGGCAGCTGGGCGCGGCTACGGCCAGCCATGCACACAAGCGCTACACCAGGGCTTCCACCACATGTGAATTGACAAGTGACCCACCACTGACACTGTAGCCATTATAAATAGCAGCTGTAGTGAATCCATGTTGGTTCCGGACCGGTACCAGTTGATGCGGCCTGTCGGCTGCAGTTTGCCAGTTCTGGAAGCTACCGTACTTTCCCAAGTGTGCTGTGGAAAAGTGGGCTTTTGGGACTGTAGACTTTTCATGTTGGTTACTGGCTCTACTGGGCCTATGACTCCTAAGTATTGGACCCTACAATGCTTTGAGACCTAGGACCTACCGGACTCCTAGGGGCTAACCTGGGATCCGGCCCAGGTGGGACTGCGGGACAGGGACTCCGGACTGTGGGACTGGGACTCGAGACGTACAGACAACTTGAAATCCTTCCATTCCTCGCTGTCTGCTGTCTTCTCTTCCTTCCTTGGATCTGTTGTATCATGCTTGCCGGTGACAAGCAACTGGACTGAGTCCCCAAGAATGGATGGGGCAATCATTCTTAAAAAAAAAGGAAAAGAAAAGAAAAGCAGGGCTGGGCCAACAACCGGCCGGATCACCTGCCCCGGTCCAACCGGGGCCGGACCGGTGCAGGGGGGGTGAACCGGAAAAACCGGATGCCCCCAAATAATGC